AGAGAGAGAGAGAGAGAGAGAGAGAGAGAGAGAGAATTATATAAATTAAAGCAACATTTTAGAAAAATATATATATTTCCTAACCTTTTGCTTAATTATTGATTAGAGAAATAAAAACTCGTTTTTGTTTAATTTTAAAGAGAAGTTTAAACCCAATTATAGCTGTTTTATATTTAAAGCAATTTTTGTTTAGCAAAGAAAATTGTAAATTTTGTTTTGAGTGTTTGAAAACTTTTTTATATATATAATTGAATTCAAAAGGTGTGAACAAAATAAATATTTCTCATGAGTGACAAAACGGCTCAAGAATTTATCCTTAATTATCAGTAAGTATTTGAAAAGTGAAAGAAAGCCTTTGTTTAGCAAACATTAGCCTCACTTTTCTCGGGAATACATGCTATGAATCATATTTGCATTCAATTCATACATATTTTACTAGAATTTTCATTGAATGCATGTATTATTACATGAATACAAAATTGATGACAAAAACGATATATTAATTTCTTAAGGAAATGTAGTGAAAATCATTAGACAATTGCAATGGGATTGTAAAATATAAAAGAAACTTTTTCATTAAAACTATACAAATTTATTCCCTTTTATATACTAATGGCCCTGAATTGTAGTCACAATTATTTAAATTGTTTTGCAATAATAATAAAGTAATTTCTTTTTTAAAAACGACTTAAAAATTGGAGTTTTATAATCGCATGCAGTCTTTGAGACAATTAAATTACTCTATGAATGGATGCCATTATATATCCGAAAATCATGTCTAACTATTAAGTATTCAACAAAACAAAACCACGACATAGAGAGAGAGAGAAAGAGAATTATATATAATAAGTATTAAATTATTTTGTGTATAACAGACACAAAAAACACATTTTCTATTTAACAATACGAATGGCATAAAAAAAAGCATAAACAAAAAGTCGTAACTTTCAAACAAACGATACCATTCATTATTAGGGAAATGAAAATTTTAAAATAATAATAAAGACTAAAATAATATATGCATTAATAGCTCCACAAAACAAAACAAAAAGCAATATATACTTTGTTGTTGTAGTCTTTCGGTCCGTTTGACCGCCAGTTCAGTCACACCGAAGCGTTCAATTGTGTCGATATTGGCGCTGATGTTCACTATAGAGTCGATGGATAAACCAAACAATACAACCGAACCGATGATCAATATTATTAGCGAAGAGATGAATAAATATTTCACAACTTTTAGTGCACTTAATCGCCTCTCAGAGAGACTGGTGTCCGACTGTTGTTGCGGTGGATGTGGTTGTGGTGAAGATTGCGTTGACATTTTGTACGCGAACTGCATTTGGAGAAACAAAATGATATGGCATTTAACATATGAACAAAAATACAAAATGCAAGCAACAAATTTTGTGTATAATTATTAAGCAAATCAATGGATCGGGAAATTAAATTGAGAGCAACTTATGGCTCACACACTCGTGCGATGAGTGACTAAAATACAGGCAAAAACGGGGAGAAAGAAAACTACAGATATTTTTGTTTAGTATTACTTTTGGCCAAAAGCTTCTTCTCTCTGGGAATCAGAGGAAGAGAAGAGTCATAAAACTTGAAACTTGTTATACGATTCGGAAAAAAGTAGCAAAAAATAACTGCCAGAAGGGATACCAGAAATACTTCTTAAGCATCAGATTGTGGTTAACATAGATATCGTATGAATCACTCACTCATCCAAACGTGTGTTTCACTTCTTCGGCTGAGAGACAAACAGCACAAACAACAACAACACGTCAAATGATGTGCCGTTTAGTCGACACAAACACACATATAAATATTTAATGAGGTTTTAAAAATAGAAATTAGTTTTCAATTAAAAACATAATAAAAAGCATAAATTCTCTGGTATTTTATATTCAATTAAAATGCATTTAAAAAACGATTCTTCAGAACTTAATAACAGATTATTTTCAACGTTTATTAACTAAAAAACAAAGTTTGAAACGTTTTGTGAGATTAAAACACAACACAAGTAATGAAAAAGTTATGAAAAAGTTTTCAGGAATTTTTGGGAACAGTTTCGCGGAATAGATATGAAACACATGAATGTATAATCATTTTGAATGAGTTATGCGATACTCCACTCATACCCCACACAATACACACTCGCACTCACTCTCAGGTAAGTCAAGTGTTAAGCAATTGCCTTGAATTAGGGGTTCCTATGATTATATTGAATATTATATGATATATTACAGTATATGTTGGGGTTTGTTATTGTGGTGGAAAGGCAGGCAAAGCTCACCTTGAAATGACATACCAAACACTGGAGCACAACCACCAGTTCGCCACCAATTCACCATTCAATTCAAGTCATTCCGTACGCCAAACAATACTATGTAATTATAGCTATGATTCAAATGAATAGAAATATTAAAATAATAAAAAACTATTATATATTGTGATTCAGTTTCCGTTGAAATTTGCAAAACACAACATCACAAGTAAATGAATGGGAAAAAGTTTTTATTAAACTCAGATTTTAATCAAATAATTAAATGTTACTTTACTTTGAAAAGTTATTTAACTATTGAGTACATGATTAACAGGTATGGAGAGAGAGAGAGAGAGAGAGAGAGAGAGAGAGAAAATCACAATATATAATAGTTTTTTATTATTTTAATATTTCTATTCATTTGAATCATAGCTATAATTACATAGTATTGTTTGGCGATACAGAAATGCGTGTATAATAGGAGAGAGAGAGAGAGAGAGAGAGAGAGAATTGATTGATAGATAGAAAAGTGAAATTCTTGATTACACTTACACTTTAACGCTAAAAAGATAACTGCGATTAATTAAAAAGTGTTTTGCAATTTATAACACAAAAGTATGAAAACAATTTTTTCAATTTTTTGCGCTCTTCAATGACATGATTTGTTGAATTATAACTTCTCATACGATAACTACAACAGCGCTCACTATTTGGCAAAGGATAGTGACATAGGAATTGATAGAGAGGTCTGTTATACATGTATGTTATGCACAGAGTTTTATAATCACACCATCTGTTCATACATTTCCAGGTATACGCGGTGTGTATGCTATTAACGGTGTTATAGAAAACTCATTCAGGTATTTAAGTTTATTCAGGCTATCAGTGCATTGGGTTATGTGTGTTGTGTTATGTTAGGTGTTATTGAGCTTTTAGTTTTCTCGAGAATGTCATTTTGTATTTATATATTTGGTTTTACATTTTTAAATTTATGATTTTTCTGCATTTAATATATGATTTCATTTAATTTTAAAACAAATACACAATGTTTTTGTAATTATAGAGACTTAGCATTTAGTTAACAAACATTTATTGTTTTTAAGGGCTGATCATTGATATACACCTTTGCATTCACAGAAAACAGTGGTATTAATATTAGATAATCAGTTGATTTAATAGTCGCCAAACATTTCACTCCCAAACGCAACCATAACTAAAACAAATACTGAAAACTTAGTGTTTAGCCCAAAGTTTTGAATTTAAAATATTCTGTCAAACACTAAAAAATATTAAGTCTTAAAAGTTTTTAAGTAAAATAAATGAATCTTTTATTAAAATCAATAAATCATTTCATGAAAAAATAAAACATTGTATAAATATTACATTTATATTTTTTACAACAAACTCATCATAAAATACAATTCTATTCAAAACGATATAAAATCTCAATAAATACTAATATTTGGTTATAAAAAGCAGTATATCATTGGTTTTACACATCTTTTATAAATAATAACTTCCATAACAATCATATAATCCATTATTAACCCTAAAATTTACACATAATTATAGAAATGAATAACAAAATCTCAATTTAAGTATAAGTGGTGGAAAAATGAAAATGCGCTTTTATAGTGTAAATGCAAATTAATTATTTCTCCAGTAAATGGTGTTGTCAGAATTTAGATTATATTCTCGTGTAAAAATATAATAATGTAAAATCATTTTACTATAACCAAAAATTTTGTAGCATTTTCCATTGATGATTAGCAAATCTCCGAACGTGACCAATTTTCAACATTAATTTTGTAGAAATTAAATAATGTTGTATTTTATTTAACTGTTCTCGGAAAAATCAAAACTATATATGATGAAAATTGTTTAAATGAGTATCAATGATTGTGATAGTTAAAAATTCTTAGCTACCATGAACATCGCTTTGATACCCAGCCAATGCTGGCCATCCGTCGGTAGTGGTCAAACTTATATGGGAGACCGATGTCAAAAATATTGGCCTAGAATATGTTTATACAATGTAGATGCGGGAAACAAACAATTTGGGGTCATCTACAAATAACCGGGAAAAGGTACAGGCCAAGTAAATTGGTTATTGTACGATTTCAATACCGAAAAAACTTACCAAAAAATGCGTTTAAAAAATTAACCAATCAAAACATTTTAAATACGGGGAATATAAATTCTATACCAACACAACCATATACCCCGATATACTCCCTTCCGATTCCCACCAATTCCTATCATTTATATTGTTTGTTAGAGTAATGGCATTAAAAGTTGCAGAGGTCCTCAAATCCAGGGTATATTTGTTTAATGCCTAAAAATCAAGTGAATTCATTGAATAGAAAATTGAAAATTTGGTCATATATTGAGTGATAGCTGATGATTATTATGACAATTACACCTTTGCTTAAAGTTAAGTACTTTAAGTATAAAACAATTTTTAGTTCACCCCAACAAACGCATTTTCATTTTTCCAGCACTTATATAAAATGATCCTAAAATTTATGATATAATCGATTCACAGAATGTCTCTAAAGGGCGGCATTCATGACAGTGAGTGTCTGAATCTGGAGTCCGCCGTGAATGCAGAGGTAATCAATTGAATTCAACGGCAATACTCTGTGATAAAAGTCAAACACATGTCGGTTATTGACAGAAACGGTGTACCGATTGGGCTCTACTCTGAGGGTTAGCTTAAAGTTAATGTTTATAAGGAATGGAAAGCTCTCTAAATATCTTTCGGCACTTTTCCATTGATTTGATTGATAGCTGTTTCGTGTGATCGACATCTCCTTCACGTTGACCTCCATATGAAAGGCCACATCACTGACGGGGTCTTCGTATGGGTTGGAGCCCTGATAGAGGCCCACATCGAACCGATTGTCTATACACCGGGCGGTCATCGTAACGATCATTCCCGGCTCGAGACCGCACTTAATGGGCTGCAGGTGTGGTAATCGAGGGTACGTTACGTGATATAACACGTGATCCGAGCCGTAATCGTTGTCGACGCCGAGTCCGCCGCCGGACGCCTGCGCGGGCGGCGGCACCAGCGCTGGCATCGGTCGCATCTGCATCTGATCCGCGGTCACCGGCATCTGTACCTCCAGGTGCTCAACATTGGCGTCTCCCTCGCAGCCGATCAGCCCTACGGTATTGAACGGCATTTTGTGCGTAAAACTCATGAACAGCCGGTCGTTGACCATCAGCTGATAGCAGTTGTTGTCCACAACGATCGTCAACTGGAACTTCTGGTTCTGGAGCAGAGGTCTGGGCAGTCGTCCCCTCTGTGTCCGCTCCTCTTTGGCCCAAATCTTGTTGAGCCGACTATTGGTCAGAGCGTAACCGCCGCTGGAGTTGACGTTGAAATGTAGGGCAATATCGCCGTATTTGATGAGCTCTTTGGTCACGTGTCGGCCGCACAATAGGTTCACCTCGAAGTGCTGAGCGGCCGGATTCATGTGACCACTCATCACCACTTTTGAGTGCGGCTGAAGACCATCGCCAGAGATCTGATAGTAGTTTGTGTTCAAAGTGACCGACTTTGACGACGAGTGGCCGTCGAAGACCTTTGATATCAATGACTTCGGGATCAATGAGACCATCGCTGCCTTCGGGATGTGTTTTGTGGTCACAATTAGTTGTTTTTCAAATCAAACCAAACGTGTATTGAATCGTAAAACTGATTTCAAACCACAATTTGTTTCATATATTGTTTTCCAAGCGATTAGTCATTGAATTTACAACTGATTATTGCATACAAAAAGTGTCCATAAATTATGTCTCTGTTTATGGTTTGGCTTTTCTTTGGGTTTGTTTTGTCAATAAAATGCTCTATTATTTTAGTGGACAACCCTTTGGCCCCCTTTTTATACCCCCTTTTAGGCCAATATTCACGCCGTATTGTATGGATGTACTCAAGAATTGGCAGAATATTCTGTGCTTTTTAATTGAGTTTATAATAAGTTTTGCATACAATTGAATACTAACTGTAATTACGAAAATGTTTTATCATGTTTAGTGTATGGAAATAGTGTGTGTATATTGAGTTAATTATGACATTAATTATAGTAATTATACAGCAATTGAAGGGTTGAGGGGACTCTACACAGAAGTTAACTAACAGAATATATAATTATCAATTAATCAAAACTCTGGGCTAACTGCATTAACAGTCGATTTTTGTATAGTTCAAAAATATCGGTAACGTACGGAAGTAGTGTTGTAATACTCTAAAACTTAACGGTTGTCTGTATTTCGCAACTCTTATGTAAGTCTCTAATGATATCCCAAACCCACAACTGATGGCTTCAATGGCAGGGATTAAACCTACAAAACCAGTGCTTAAAACCAGTTATAACTCACTCTATCTATGAAATGGTTATTGAGTTATAATTTAAATGAAAACTTTTTTCTTGTTTTTGATTCACGAATTGCCGGCGAATAGCGAAACACATTTCCAAGAATTCAGTCCTGAATTATCGCTCAAATGTTATAATTTCTATAAAATTTGTGTATATTTTCAGCCTTTTATGGAAATGTTTTGACCCATCTTTTAACACATTTTATAATTTATATGTAATTAATCGGAAAAATACAAACACATAACAAATTATTTATTTTTATAACCAAAGGTTTTTATTCATTTGAAAAATAGCTTAAAATAGAAAACAATGTTTAAAACAGATTTTTATACAATAAGTTAAATGACATTATATTTTGATATGAAATTGTTTTCAATATGAAAACAACAAATGTATGACTGAATAGAGATGACTATAATTACGTTAATACGCGTCCAACGATCCGATAGTGCTGTACGTGATGTAGGATAGGGTACCGCCGGATGCGATCAAAGACATGGCGATCGCTGTCCAGAGGGAGCTCTCGAGGTCTAGTATGTAGACGAGGGGTCGGAGTAAAAACCACGTGAAAAATAGGCCCAAATGGTTGGCGTAAACGCCGTAAATGCCGGTCAGTGTTAGGGCTATGAAGAGGGTTGTGATGAGACGCTGGATATAACCGCTCCTCTCATTGATAGAGCCCTGTCTGTCGTCCTCTAAGCCGTGATGACAGGCGACGAGTATTGTGTAGATTAACACCAATTTAATGATTATCACAACCGCTTTAAAGCCAATGAATGCCAGCGTTTCCAATAAAATATCCATTGAAATATCCAAATGAAGACTATTATTATGATTGAAGTCTCTTTTTTGTCGACTTTCTTCCTCTTTCTTGTTGTTAACGTTTAATAAGTTTTAATAAAACTTTTTTGTTGTTTTTGTTTCAATTTATACACTCTTTTACGTAACGATAATTTGCTGATAGAGTTATGAAACGATATAATCATTTGGCAATCGTTAAACACATTTGACTTTTTTTTGTCGATAATAAAAGTATTTTATTTATTATTTACTTCTCATATGATATAAACTTATATGAAAATCATGTGACGATTTTTAATCACTTTTATACATAACGTTAACATTCACTAAACGTGTTAAACGTATGGCATTTTCGGTTAGATATCATTTTACCGGACTTTATATGTACTGTAAAACCGATGTAATGGTAAGAAAATTAACTAATTTTAACTCGTGTTTACTTATGGTCTCCAATGATAAACACTTTTATTGAAAATAACACTCGTTTACATGAATTAGCTTTTTATTTGCTTATAATAAACGAAAGACACACCAAAAATGTTGAATAAATTTTTACACAATAATCATTTTGAAAGCATGTTTTGCAACGCTTTATGCAATGTTAGGC